GTGTGTAACAAAGAATTTTGCCTTGCATGAAACGAAACACTATGTATTTTTGAAGAGCTATTTTAGGGTAATTTAGGTAGAGAGAAAAATTAGCCGGCCTCCCGACCAAGCAAACCCGTTCGTTCTCTTCCCCTTTTTCGCTCCGCCGCATGCATGCAGGCACCCGCCGGCTAGGATTCCGACGGCCGCCTCGTCGCGTTTACACTGTCGACCGTGTTCGTCAACTGCAGCATGCACTCACGGCCCACATCATCTTCCTTGACGAGGCTTCCTCTCCCTCCCGCCATGCTGGTGGACCGAGCGCTCAGCGGTACGGCACAGTTGAACGAGTTCATGGACACTACCGTCGGACGCCGACTAGGAAAATTAGATGTAGCTAGTATTTCAGAAGCTACCAATCGACGGACTCCATCGATCAACCAAAATACAGCATCACCATCGACCAGGAGTTGAGTGATTAATCACCATACCAGAGCCAGAGAAGGTGGGAGACGTTGCAATCTGTACTATATTTTTCTTTTGGGAAGTGGCATGTACTGTACCGACTAGGACATGGACAAGTGAGGGCGATGCGTGTGGCCTTGTGGGAGGCGCGGCCAGAGGTGCCAGGAAGCGGCGGCTAGGTCGACGGGCGTCCAACGGTCCAGGTCAAGCACCCACGGAGGGTGGTGGCGGGAGCGCGTTGGGAAACAGGGATGCGGCGGCGAGTTCAACGACGGCGGAGCCGGTCGGCCACGTCAAGTTGGCGACGGCGGGTAGAGCAATCGCCGATCGCTCAACCAGGGCGAACAGAACGGCCAATTTCTGATGGGCTGGCGTTATCTTGGAAAACGGGAAATGACTAGAACTATCCTCACGAAATCAACTGCGGATGATTGTATACTGCTACCTCCCATCTTTAACAGTTTACCGTCGGGGATGGTTCTCTCTGGCTGCATAGTTTAAAAATACGAACAGGAAGTCGAACCAGAAAGGTTGTCGGTTCAGGTTTTTACTGGTCGGAGTGCCGGTTCACCAGTTCAATTGTTGGTTATTTAAGAAATAAAATAATATATATTGATTAATATATGCGCTAATATAGAGTGAAACAATGGTAAAATAAAATTATAACCATGTAGTGAACAACAAAGTAGCACAACCAAGTTGGTTATTGGGCCATGGGCAGGCCCCGCCTACTGCTCACATGCCATTAGATCGAATCCCACTTTCCCAATTACTATTCAAACTTTTTTCCTGGTTTTTCCCAGTTCAATTACCTGGTTTTTTCACTGGTTTTCCAGAAAACCGGACGGTTCGATCGGTTTTTTCCGGTTTGATTGCATATCGGTCTTATTAGCTTAAAAACCCGATGAGGCTGCCGGTTCCGGTTTTCCAGTTCGACCGCCGGTCCGGTCCGGTTTTTTAAACTATGTCTGGCTGACGCGCTGTTTTTTCACCGCTCCCCTAACGAAGTCGGCTTGGCCTTGTCGATGACAGTTGGGAAGTATTTGTGCACGTGTCCCTAAGAACCAATTCCCTGGAGCCGCAGTCATCGCCGTTGAACCCTTGAATAGATTCAAGATCCGAAGCAACTGACACCAAATCTCGCCGGTCGCGCACCCACAAGAGAAATCATAACCTTGCCGTCCCAAGGAGGCAACGTGATTTCACCGGAGCTCTGTTGACTATGTCCATGGATGAGCTCAAGGATCGAGGATCAGAACCCGGAAGACAAACTCTAAGAAGAAGTGTCGTCATCCGCCCGAACGTCGCACCTGCAAGGATTAAAAACTCTAACCTAAACTACTAGCTGGAGTCAAGGCACCGGACTTCCGCTCCCTGCAACCGGCCGCCAGAGCGGCAAACAGAGGGGAGACAAATCCACAAGCTCGCTGGTAAAATCTGGAGGGGAGAGTTTGTCCAGCCGCCAAGGGGAAGGGGAGAAAACGCTTGGAGAAACTCTCATGATCTAATAAATATATAGGGATATACTGTACTATATAGATAGTTTGTGTGTAGTGTTTTATACTTACCTCATGTCCTCGAGAACCTCCTCGAGCTTGTCGGTAAGCTTGTCTACACGCATGATGTCGATGCCATCCAGTGGATCTTGTTCATCGTCGTCGTTGATGCCTATCTTTCGTGGCTTGACGATTTGAAGAAGTATGCGCTTCAGTAATCCCTCCAAATCTTTCGTGTCGCGGAACGCCTGGGACACAGACACTTGAGCTTGGCCTTGGAAGTCGGCCTCCAACTGCCGGCACACCTCCATCGCCAGCGTAGTCTTCCCGAGCCCCCCGAATCCCACGACGGAAAAAACCTTGAGCGTCATGTCATTGTCACTCACCGCCTTCACCATGGCGGCCAGTCTGGTAGCCTGCTCCGTGATGCCGACTAGATGGTCAGGGTCGTTTGGTACCGGCCTGAGCGCATGGCCGAGCAGCGGCGCTGAAGCGGAAGGAGAAGTAGAGCGCCTCAGCACCTCACGGCTGAGCCCGTAGCGTTCCTGGCGCTCGCTGATCACGACAGCACGGGCGCGGAGTGCCTTGATCTCTCGAGCAAGCTGGCGGCGAGAAGAAAGCGTACCCAGCATGCGTTTGGACCACACGAGGAAGCGGTCTCTGGACCGGCATCGGATGCGGAAGATGTAGAGGTGCACGCAGTCCTCGGCGTCGTAGGCGAGCTCGCGCACCTGCTTCATCCACACCCGGATGAAGTGGTCCACGGCGTCCTCTTCTGCTTCGGACAGCATGCGGAGGATGGCTTTCATGGTTTCCAGCTCGTCGCTCAGCTCAGCCACCTGGGCACTCACGCCGCGGAGCTGCCGGTACTCCTTACCCACCAGCTGCCCGACGATGGACACAAGCTGGGTCGCGCCTTCCATTCTCCCGCTCTCTTGATTATCGACTCTGTGGGGAGGGTGGATGGCTGGATAGGAGATGCAGAGTTTCCTGCTGCTCTTCGCGATTTGCAGATGCTTTATCAAGACTGAGAAGATAGAAAAGAAAGAAAAGACAACGCGTTGATGATGATGACAATCTGCGCGGCGAACCAGGATGAGGCGACGTGGTGATCTGCTGGAGATGCTGCTCCATGGTTCAAAAAGCTATTTTGAGTTACCTCCCCCCCTTTACGTGGGTTTGAACTTTGTTGCTCTGCTGTGTGCGAGCTTTATGTCTTGTGTTCTTTTGGGGCTTTAGACCTTGGATACTAGCTATTGTGATTAGGTGTCGTCGGGTTTTCGCCCCGTGGTGAGTAATCTCGATGGCGAGTGCTCACAGTGGGTTTCCCGGGTTTTCCCGGCGATGTGTTGGACTCGTTTCCCCTTTTCTCCTTTTTTTTGGACTGCTGTATTTTCGTTATGTTGCAGTAATGGAAAGGGGTGATGCCCGGTTCAAAAAAAAAAAAGAAAAGAAAGAAAAGACGAGTCATTGGCTGACAGTGCATTATGTTATGAAGCAAGTAGCATCATCAACAGCCATGGCCGGCTAGAGGCACATGATTGACCTAAAATATAGTTGAGGGGAGAGGGAGCGGTTGACTGGGGCACGGAGATGGCTGAGATCCAGCGGTGAGGAATTAGCGCTAATTATAAGTGGGTAGACAGGAGAGATAGGGAGAGCTGAACCGTGGTCAGCGCTCTCGACCAATGATATACAAACTTGCAATACCAGCGGCCATGGATGCCAAGACGCTGCACATGGTCGACCGGTTGCTATAAATCCGTTGTATTTTTTAAAATTGTATAATATGTGTCTCATTTATTTCATATAAAGATCGTAGTACAAATTATGTAAACACTAACCTAACAAAAATAAAGAGATAACAAAGCGCTAGATTTTGCACAAAGAAACACCGGCCAAGAAATGCAGCTTTGCGGACCTTCAAGGTAGCTCACCAAAGGTGAAATCATTACCATTGAACGAATTAGACCGAGGTAACACCACGGACATGCCATCGAACTCTAGATCTGGCACCCCTACATGACTAAGACGTCGAAGGAGGAAACCACACCTGCCATCCGCGAACCATGAACCCAGCACACGATCCACCATCTTCCAGATGCCGACGATGTAGACCACAATCTGCATCCACTCCCAGACTACCTCCCAAGCTCCGCGTCGGTGCTGGAGCAAACGCCGTCGCAATGGAGGGGCCCGAGGACACAAGTCCATTACAAAGATGCCGCCGCCACAACATCCTTACTTGAACAGACTGATTTTCAAATTCATCCCTAACCATAGGTCGATCACCTTGTCGGGAAAGGATCTGAAGAATATTTATTCAGCGCCGCCATCGCTGCCGCCAAAGCTAAAGAGGACGGACAGCCTAAAAACAAAGCTACTTTGACCTAAAACTATCCACACGTGTGGATCCGGGACCTCCCACACCATCAACGACCGAGGTCGTCGGTGGAGGGGAGCCGCCATCCTCGAAGGAACTCTCCCGACGGGAGACCATGGCGAGATCGCACCTTTTCTTAGTTAGGAAGAAAGAAAACGACCCGACTTGTGTCCTATGTCTATAAATCCATTTACTCCCTCCGTCCCATAATATAAGATATGTGGTGTCGTGTTAAAAAATATTTTATATTATGGGATGGAGGGATTAGTACTTATCTTCTTGATGAACAGGGAATACAATACTCCCCACTAGCTAGTAGTACTTCCTGGTTAGCATTCAGACCTGGCTCGAACTGACTTTTCTTCTCGACCACTAGACTAGCTAGAGGATGAATGGACGTGTTCCATTATTTATTCTTTTGGTGGCTGCTGTGGTGGCGTCAGAGGCAGGTGATAGGTATTGATGTCAAGTTCAGAGGATTCTTCGATTTTGTTTGTAATTTTACTTTTTTGGCTGGTGTTTTGTGCAAAGACTAGCAATGTATCATCTTTTCAGTTTTGTCAGGTCGGTATGTACATGGCTTGTGTTATGATCTTTATAATATATAGAAGAATGCCCGTGCGTTGCAATGGGATATAAATATTTTAGTACGTTAGCTTGTGGTTTACCTTTCAATAATAATGCGATTGTAAATAAATGTTGAGAAGGTAAGTAAATTAAGGTAATTGATTATCATATACATGGAAGGGTGGACGAAGGGATGGTAGGAAGAAAGATAAAATGAGAACCTTACGTTCTTTTTAAGTAGTAGAGAAGAGATAGAGATAAATGAGACACGTATTACCATGCAAAAAAACGAGATGCAAGACCTGACCAAATAAGGCCCCTCCCAATGCTCCACCTTGTACAAGTGCTAAGCCTTCCACGTAGGCAAAAAATCTGATGTGGCAAGTTATTTAAGAGGAGAGAGATGAGTGTGGTGATCCCAGGAAGAACCAATGCTAAGCGCGTGAACCTAGGCAAAATGTTTAAAAGAAGGAAGTCCACCAATACATGAAGAGTTTTAGTTGCTAAATCATTAAATGAAGCAAGCTTAGCAACCATAAGCTAAGCACCTATGCATTGGGGAGTATAGTTGCTAAGCTATTTAATGTGCTTAGCACCTCATCTAAGCACTCATGCATTGGCAGCAGCCTAACATGGCTTGATAAGATACTAGTCCCCTACATGGTTCTATTTAATAGTGAATGGGTATGTGTATGTTATGTGTAATGCATGTTGGTATCATGTAGAAAATTAATTGCACATTGATATTAGGCAGAAAATTAATTGCATGTAATTACGTGGATATTCTTATTTGATATGTTATTAATTGCATGCTAAACATGTTGAACGCTCGTCATTGGAGAAATATAGGTCATCATATCGATAGTCTTTGATGGTTGAAATTTGTTGGATCTTCTCCTTTGAGATTTTTTTATATTAGTATAGTTATAGATATAAATATAGATAATACATAGTAGTTTGTCTCTCACTACCACATAATAGCATTATGAAGACACATCTATAGGAAGGGACGGTTACAGAATCTTCAGAGAAACAGAAACAAATGTGGACAAGGCTTTGGAAGCTCAAAGTTGTGCCGAAAGTGTGAGTGTTTTGGTGGCGAGTGCTAAGGGGAATTCTTCCCACTGAGTGCACTTTAAAGCATAGACACATAGCTGTTTTGGCAAGGTGCAAAGTCTGCCTTGATGCAGATGAGGACTTATATCACGCATTGATCAAATGCACTCATGCCAAGCTTTTCTGGATGGAGGCACGAGAATCCTTATCTGTTAAACTCCCGGAGCTTCATACAGAAAGTTGGTCAAGGGACATCTTGTGTGACCCTAGGTTTGATGATGTGGATCAAGCAAAAATTATCACTATCATGTGGCCGATCTAGACTTCCATGAATAATATAACACATGATAGAGACAACTTGGATCTGGCTCGCTCAATAAAGATGATCAGAGAGACCTTGTCTTTGCTAGAAATACCTCAACAACATGCAAGGATCTTACCGGGTCATGGTTGGAGACCTCCTGAAGAAGACTGTATTAAAATCAATACGCATGCTAAAATATCTATGGAGGCAAGGCTGTGCGGTCTGGGAGGTGTCGTCAGATCTCCTGACGCTTTCTTGACCGCCTGGTGTAAACCGGTCCGGGGTATTACTGACCCACTAGTAGCGGAGGCTCTGGCTCTCCATGAGGGAGTGGTGTTTGCTCAGCTACGAGGCTTTGTGCGAGTAGAGATGGAGACCGACAGCTTGGAGGTCGTCAATCTTTGGAGCTCGCGTCGTTCTTCGCGCTCGCTAATAGAGTCTGTGTTACTTGATATTGAGGGACTAGCTCCTTCATTTTCCTTTTTTTACTATTAGTCATGTAAAGAGACATGCCAATATTCCTACTCATCTGTTTGCAAAACATGCTTGCACATCGGAAGCGACTGATTGTTAGATGAACAATCCTCTGAGCTTGCTGATCACCAGTCTTCTGGCTGACAGCGCCGGAGCCCTTTCGTTTGAATAAAGCCCTCAATTCCCCGCAAAAAAAGAAGACACATCTATAGCACATCGTTAGACTGAATTATGTGTGATGCAGGCATCGCAGTTTATGGTTAAAACAAAATGCGTGTCCAGAAACGAAAATGTCCAATTACCCCCATCCATCGGGCACGATATCTATATGTAAACAATTTGGGCTACATGGCACACAGTTTGCCATATAGAGACGTGTGCGAAAAGTCGTGGTAAAGCACATGATAGAGCGAACGTTCGCTCGGTCGATTTCAGGCTTCCACCAGCGACACATTCTTTGTCACTAAACCACTCACACGCTCACTCCAGCACCTTATCTCCTCTATGAATCAGTGTGAGAAAAGGAGACGTCCAGTCCCTTCCTCATCTCTGTGCAAGAGTGCTGACAAAAAAGAGAAACACCTCACAGCTCCCCAGACTTCGTGGGGCATCCTCCCTGTCTCATGGTAGAGCGCCTCAGACTAATGGCCTCTGCCTCCTATGCTGCCTCCTCGCATCAGCTCCTTCTCACGTCAAGCCGCCTCGACGCCCTCAGCAGCTACTCGATGATGCCGCACAACCCAATTCCCTGCCTTTCTTGTATCAACGGATTACCTCTATTACCAAGTTTTCTCCTCGTCGTCTTCCACACGATTCAAGTGTTGCCCAGTCACATACTTATCCATGAGAGGTATGAATAATGACCCCCCTCCCCTTCAGTTCATACGAGGTTAATTTTAGGAGGATTTTCACGAGGTGTTTGTAGGGGGTGGCACATGATGGACTTGTATGATGAGGTCGCATGGTGGAGGAATATCTCACCATGGTGTGTGTTCAATTTGGAGAGGAAGTGAAGGCGCGGGGTTGGTCATGCTTGCTTGACCGCCTAGGTGGAATTGAGAGGAGAAAGGAGATGCTAGTGGTGGAGGTTAGGTCATGTGAGCTCCAGGGGTATCGATGTGTCGAATGCAGTAGGGAAG